CTTGGATAGGGCCCACGACACTGAGTGGGATTTCTTCCATAATCTGCCCCATATCACTCTCATAGTATAGCTTCAGGTGATGCCCGTTCACTTTGAATTCGTCGCCGTTCCTTAAGCTTTTAACTTGGATTGCACCATGGGGAAAAACATTAGTGACAACAAATGGTCCAATCCACTTAGACCGTAACTTGCCAGGGAACAATCGTAGACGGGAATTGAATAGTAGCATTTTCTGTCCAATTGAGAATGTTTTTCCCCGAATCATTTTCTCATGAAACGCCTTTGTTTTCTCCTTGTAAATTTGTGCATTCTCATAGGCTTCGTTCCGTATCTCCTCAAGTTCATTCAGTTGGAGCTTCCTATTCGTTCCAGCAGCATCTAAGTCCAAATTGAATGTTTTCACAGCCCAGTGCGCTTTGTGCTCCAGTTCCACAAGTAGGTGACACGGCTTGCAATATGCCCACAGTGCATCATCTAAACGCAAGTTCCAATCCTTCCGGTTTGGCCCAACAGTCTTCTCCAAGATTTGCTTGATTTCTCTATTCGAGACTTCGGCTTGGCCACTTGTTTGAGGGTGGTATGGCGTGGAAACCCGATACTTCACATTGTACTTTTAAAACAGCGCCTCAATGGTGCGATTGCTAAAGTGGGAGCCTTCATCGCTTATGAACACCCTCGGCATGCCAAATCTGGAAAAGATGTTAGCCTTGATAAAATCTGCCACCACTCTAGAATCGTTAGTATGGGTGGCTTTGGCTTCCACCCATTTCGACACATAATCAACGACTAGCAAAATATAAGTAAAACCATATGAGGGCGGAAAGGGTCCCATGAAATCCATACCCCATACATCAAAGATCTCCACATTAAAGATGGGGGTTTGCGGCATTTGGTCTTTGGCACCGATTGTACCTGTTCTTTGGCATCTATCACAAGTTATACAAAATGTTCTAGCATCCTTAAACAATGTAGGCCAATAGAAACCACTCTCTAAAACCTTAAGGGCTGTCCTTTGGGTGCCAAAATGACCCCCACATGCATAACTATGGCAAAATGCAAGAATTGAATTAAACTCGGAATTATGCACACATCTACGAATAATCTGGTCAGGACAATACTTCCACAAATATGGATCCCACACATAAAATCGTGCATCATTTCTGAGTTTATCACGCTTGTATTTATCTAGAGTGCTAGGAAATTGTTTTGTGACCAAGGAGGGAAGGTCTCTAGAATGGGTAAGGAGTCCTCCTCGTGCACCAAACGGCTGAGGTGGTCAGCCACCACGTTTTCACTCCCTTTTTTGTCTCTTATTTCAATGTTGAACTCTTGAAGTATGAGCATCCAACGAATCAGCCTTGGTTTGGCCTCCTTCTTGGTGATGAGGTACTTCAACGCTGCATGGTCAGAATATACAATCACTTTAGTGCCAAGTAAGTATGAACGAAATTTATCTTAAGCAAATACAACTGCAAGAAGTTCTTTCTCAGTGGTAGAATATTTCAATTAAGCATCATTTAGTGTCCGGGAAGTGTAGTGGATGACGTGGGGCTGTTTGTTCCTCCTTTGGCCTATAACAACACCAATGGCATAATTAGATGCATCACACATTAGCTCAAATAGAAGGCTCCAATCTGGTGGCATGATGATGGGGGCCGACGTCAACATGTCCTTGAGGGTTTTGAAAGCGGTCTCACACTCCTTGTTGAACTCGAAGCTTACTTCCTTTTGGAGTAAACAGCAAAGAGGTTAGGCGATTTTTGAGAAATCCTTGATGAATCTCCTATAAAATCCTGCATGGCCAAGAAAAGAACGAACCTCCCTTACCGAAGTGGGAGAGGGTAAGTGACGTACAAGATCTATTTTAGATTTATCAACCTCAATCCCTTTTTCTGATATGATATGCCCCAAAACTATACCTTGTTTTACCATAAAATGGCACTTTTCCCAATTCAAGACAAGATTAGTTTCGATGCATCATTGTAAGATCAGAGTAAGATTATTCAAGCATGCATCAAATGATTCACCAAAGACACTAAAGTCATCCATAAACACTTCAATGATCTTTTCCACAAATTCTGAGAAAATACTTACCATACACCTTTGGAATGTGGCTGGTGCGTTGCATAGCCCAAATGGCATGCATCGATAAGCAAAGGTACCAAAGGGACATGTGAAGGTAGTCTTTTCTTAGTCATCGGGAGCTATCACAATCTGATTATAACCCGAATAGCCATCAAGAAAACAATAAAATGAATGACCGGCTAACCTTTCCAGCATTTAATCAATAAAGGGCAACAGGAAATGATCTTTTCTTGTCATATCGTTGAGCTTCCGATAGTCAATACAAACTCTCCATCCGGTTTGGATTCGGGTGGGCACAAGCTCATTATCTTCATTTTTTACCACAGTGACTCCAGACTTCTTAGGAACAACTTGGACCAGCAAGACCCAATGGTTATCAGAAATTAGGTAAATCACTCCACAATCTAGTAGCTTGATGATTTCCTTCTTCACAACGTCCATCATGGGTGGATTGCGCCGGCGTTGTGCTTCTCTAGATGGTTTGGCTCCTTCTTCCAAGAGTATTTGATGCATACAAGTGGTAGGGCTAATTCCCTTGATATCAGCCAATGTCCACCTAATGGCAGTTCTGTATTCCCAAAGCACCCTCACCAACTTGTCCTCTTCTTGTGCAGTGAGTGAAGAAGAGATGATGACGGGCAGCGTCTCTTGCTCTCCCAAAAACACATATTTCAAAAGGCTAGGCAATGGTTTAAGCTCTAGGGAAGGGGGCTGGATTACAGAAGGAAGCAACTTGTTAGTCGAAATGGGAATTGAAATTAGGTTAGGAGACTTACCAATATGCCTTGGATTTGACTCTAGGGCTGCAACCATCTCCACCAATTCTTCTTGAATAGGCACGGCAAGATGTTCCTTGTTGTTGCCGTGTGCATGCCTAAGTGCTAACCCTTCATTTTTTAGTCCAATGCTTTGCGTGAGAGTCTTTTCAAGTGCATCCTCATTCAAATCATCAAGGAATTCCTGCACCCAAGAGTCAATCACATCAATAGAGAAACAAGAGTGACCATCATGAGGATATCTCATAGCATCAGAAATATTGAAATCAATAACTTCCCTATCAAATTCCATGGTCAATGTTCCCTTGAATACATCTATCTTTATACTGGCAGTCTTCATGAATGGTCGGCCAAGTAATATTGGTAATTGATAGGAATGGTTCGAGTCTTCCATTTCAAGCACGTAGAAGTCCGTCGGAAAGACTAGGTGATTCACCTGCACTAAAACATCCTCCAAAACACCTTTTGGATACGCATTAGATCTATCGGCCAGTTGAATGATCACTCCATCATTTTTTAATTCTCCTAAGTTCATAGATGCATATATTGAATAAGGCATGACAATTATTGATGCACCTAGATCTAACATGGCAGATTCAAAGCGAGTATTTCCTATAACACAAGGAATTGTAAAACTGCCTGGATTTTTGCACTTAGGAGGTAGTTTTCGTTGCAACACAGCTGAGACATTCTCACTTACCCTTACCACCTCTTTGTTTGAAGCCCTCTTCCTTGTAGTGCACAACTTCTTCATGAACTTAGCATACTTGGGGACTTGTTTAATTGCATCTAGAAGTGGAATGTTGACTTGCACCTTTCTAAATGTGTCAAGGATGTCTTTGTCACTCTCATCCTTCTTTGATTGCATAAACCTACGAGGAAAGGGTGCATTGGTTGGAATGGAATCAGAAGTCATGGAATTTGAACCTAACTTGCCTTTGGTGGTCGAATTAGGGTGTGTAGGTGGCTGCGGCAACGATTGCTCAATCCTTGCCGAGGGCAGGCCTTGTTCTTTCTCCTCATATTGCATCTTTTCGTCTTCCTTTTGATTGGATTTAGATAGGCTGGGATCAGATCCAACTTCTTGTCCACTTCGCAAGGTGATGGCTTTGGCAGATTCGAAGCCTCCCTTTGGATTCACATCCGTCAAACTAGGTAACTTACCTGGCTTTTTACTAAATTGCCCCATGAACTCAGCCATTTATCCCATCTGTCTCTTCAATTCAGTCACCTCTCGAGCTTGATTTTGCACTTCTTTGGCGTAATTGTGCATATCTTTGGCTTGATTTTCCTGACCCTTCGCCATCGTAGTTAGTAACTGAATAACTTGAGCATTATCAAAAGACGAACCTGAGTTATTTTGGGCTGGTTGTGTTTGGGGTTGTGAAGGTGCATACAGCCATTGATAGAATCCCGGAGGTTGTTGTCTGAATGCACTTTGTTGTTGGGTTTGTTGGGGCTCCCTCTATTTGTTGTTGGGTAAAAGGGAGTGGTGTTGAAATGATTCAAAGGTGAAAGTGAAGTAATGATGCAAAGCATGGGTAAAATGGAGTGGTGTTGAAATGATTCAAAGGTGAAAGTGAAGTAATGAAAGTGAAGCAATGATGCAAAGCATGGGTAAAATGGAGTGGTGTTGAAATGATTCAAAGGTGAAAGTGAAGTGATGATTGATGCAAGAATTAAACATGGATGGAGTGCACGGAAAATGTTTGTTATGGTACAAGGAACCCTTAATTTGTGTCCTAAAATGCATAGGAAACCTTCAATGTTGCTCGAACTTAGGGACATTTAGGATTTAGGAAAAATCAAACCAAAATAGGAAACCATGGCTTAACTTTCCTACTTCAAGTAGGAATCCTCATCTTTAGGTCTTCAATTTCGTCCATTCCTTTAGTTCCAAACATGTGATATTTATTCCAAGCCCAAAATTGCTCCAAAAGGTTCCAAAATGCACATTTTTGCATACTTTGTCCTTAGAACCTGAAATTGCCCAAAAATGACTTTAAACACTAAAACTGCTAAGGAATAACAACATAAATGCATGAGAACAAGCTAACTCAGTCGCATAAATATGCTCCTATCAGCACTCAGCACCTGCCCTCCATGCATCGCACACCGTGACCCTCCATGAGTCTCTCTCTATCTCTCACCCTTTTGCGTTTTCAATGACTTCAAACGGGGGCATAAGCATCCAACCGCTTCCACAAATTTAGACGACAGATTATCACATAAAGAAATTTCAAGCTCCTCTAACAGAGGAAGTTTTGAAGCCATTTCACTCAACCCCACATCTGTTATATCGTAGCAATATGTAAACCGGAGACGTTTAATACCACGGCACCGATCGATGATAAAGTTGAGGAGGTGATCAGAGCTGAAGTATTCAACGTTGACATCGACAAGATTGCCGGCGATACGATCCACTGCGTAGCGGCGCATCAAATCCAAGTTCAATATCACATCATCCAAATTGCTGTCGTTGTGCATGCCGATGGTGCGCCACATGAGAGAATCCTTGCAGATCTGGCGCCAAGCCATGCACACATACTGTGCCCTCTACAAAATCCTAACAGCCCCGAGTCGGGACAGGATTTAAACGGTGACGTCTCGTGGAAGTTCTAACCAGTTTCGGGTTTCGACAGTGGCGGGTCTCGATTTGGGTACCCACTTTTAGCGAGGGGGTTGGAATCGGGGGGCTTGGGGCTTCTTGTTTCTTTTCTTCCCTATGGAGGCTTTACTTGATTGGATTCGGGGATTTTCCGGGAAAGTTTCAAAATTGAGATTTTCTCGGGAAAATGAAGGGCTAGGGTTTTCAGTTTCGGGGTTTGCAAGTGGCGTTTGACGTTGGCGATAGAGGAGGGGACAATGAGCTCGCGGGTGAGGCCAACGACGCCGTTTTGGATGTGTGAGTCGCCGAGGAAGGTAAGGTTTCAGAAGTTGAAATAGGGGAAGTAGAAGTTGACGTTCTCAGTGGAGCCACAGCTGAGGAAGAGGGCTATGAGGAAGAAAATGACGACCCAGAAATCAAGAAGCTTTCTTGGAGCCATGGAGGGGGAGATTTCGAATTCAAATGGATGAAAACTAATGGGTTTTGGATTTTCTTTGCAAATGCAGAGGACTTGCAGATTATGATTGAGAACATGGTGGGGAAGAGAGAGAGAGAGAAAGAGCTAAGGAGTGTTTGAGATTTGGATATTTTCTGTTTCTAGGTTTTTTGTGGTTTTGCAGATTCACAATGGTGAGGTTTGATGAAAAAATGAAAGAGAACCGACATAGTTTTTTGTGTCGATTCCCACAGACGGCGTCAAATGTTGATGCACAAAACGGGAGGTCTTGAAACAACGTAAATCCTACCGTGAATCTGCAAGAAATGTAAATAACACAAGATGTATCGTGGTTCACCCCAAGGTTTGGGCTACGTCCACACTGATATTTGTATTTCTAATAAGTGAGGGGAGTGAGGGAGAGAGCTTCTGAGGGTGAGAGGGCCTAGGAATTGGCCTCCCCTAATTGTGAGGGTAAGGAATCATTTTATAGAATAAGGGCTCCTCACTTATTACATATTTGCCCATTCCTTTATTACATAATTACATTTAAGTCCCCTGAGTATTTATACGAGATCTAAATACGGAGGCCCTAAGTATGGTACAAACAAAAATCATGGAAATAACACATTAGCCGGAACCCCTGCAGAAATCTGTACAGCTGAATTCATAGCTCGTTAGTCAATCTAGCCGGAGTCACTACAAATGACCTATATGGCACTACACTGCACAAAAGTCTGAACCACTAAAAAGGTCTGTACGACAAGACTGGGTGTAATATAGTTATGCTCAATGCTACGCTCTCATGATAGCTGTGCGATAAATCACTAGTCACCTACGAGTCGGAACCACCTATAATGGTCTATACGACAAGACTGTGCACCTAAATTGGATCCAATGTGAGCATATGGTGCTGGATGTGACATTATATATAGGCATGTGCCATATCTCTGGCTAAATCACTAACACCGAGGTGCATGTTTATGAGCTCAAAGTTTCTCAATTAATCACAACCGTTAATCATATTCGCAATTCATAAACTCACCTGGAACTTACCTGAGCGTCCTCAGCACCACAAATATACAAACATCATATGCATATTCTAAATATAAAACGTTTAGCATGGCAATTCAAATCATAACTCATTTAAATGCATTTTCTGGGAATTTATCAAGTATATAAGTATATACTGAAAACCAAAAGCCCACTCACTGGTATGTCGAAGGGTCGTAGCCCCTAAGTCGCCCTTGACTGCGCTCGTCCTCGGGATAAGCCTCCCCTATATGCGAAACAACTATAAAAACGTTAATTTAAAACACATTACCAATACTAGCTAATAACTTCTCATACATTGCTCAATTGAGGTATATAAGTATACCATCGTGATCTACACAACCTCACGAACACCTCCATATTTTTAAAATAATTTTTTGAGTCTTCACGCGCCGGCAAGGGCACGGCCCTACGCGCTGCCACCCGCATGGACCCTAACGAAATCCCCTAACCCCGTTAGGAATATTCCGTTAAAAAGTAACGGAAACTGTTAAAGCTAACCAACGCCGTTAGGAATATTCCTCAAAGTTGAAGGAATATTCTGTCATCCCTTATCTTCGAACTCCGGCGACTATCGTCGTTGCCGGAAAACTGGGAATTTGAAAAACCTTGATATCTCAGTCAATTTTCAACCAAATTCCATGAAACTTGAACCAAATTGAAGCTTAGGACAAATAGAACATAATCTTACCAATTCCAAGCTCCAAAAATCACGGGATCTTGCCAGAGAAAACACGATAATTCCGGCCAAACTTCAAATGCATATATCTCAATTTCCCGACGTCCAAATCATGCCATTTTTCTTCTCCAAGCTTCGTGAGGATGATTCAAAGCTCCCTAGAAGCTCAAAATCTCCTAAAACCCCTGTAATAATTAGTGAATGAACAATACCTAAATCGGAGTTCGTGAGAAACTAGGGTTTTCGAAGGTTTTAAGTCCAAATAAAGGTATAAATCAACTCCTAGGCATGCAAAGAGTTTGAATGTTACCTTTAAAACCTCGATCCGTTCCTGAAATGGAAGGCTTGGAGTTCATCCATACAAAGTTGACGGAAACAGAAGAAAATCGAAAGGGAGGAGAGAGAGTACACGGGAAGGAGAGAGAGAGAGAGATGGGGTGTGTGTGAGGTCCGAAGTTGTCCACTCCAACCAACCAAAACAACAAAACAACTAAATTTCCAATTAGTTCCACTTACTTAGGAAAATAACTTGGACCCTAAAACTAAGTCACACCACTACCCACGTTTAAGGGTAAAACCGTCATTTCATACCGTCGATAAAATTATCCCAGGACGGGCTGTGACATTAACAAGGTGAATTGAAGTTTTTGGAGGCCATTAACGAATGAAGGATTATTTTGTGAAAACATGTTCATTTAAGCAACATCTATAAGCATGCAATTAACAATTAAAGGCGGAATCATGCTTGCATGCACTTAAAAACAAAACATTACCCATGAAATTCAAAGCCTAGTAGATTGGTGAACCAAGACTCAACTCAAAACAAAGTGAGTTGAGAAATTATACCTTTGTAGATTCCTCTTTGCATAAGCAAAGGCTAATCACCCAAAGAGAAGGCCTTCATTCCTTGCATCTAAAATCTATGGATTTGGATGGAAGAATAGGTTTCTCCAAGTTCCCAAAATTGAGAACCTCTAAGTATCTTCACCAAGGTTAGATTGGAGAAGAAATGAGTGACCTTGGAGTGGTAGGATTGCTAGATACACCCTCCAAGGGGGCCGGCCTCCTAGAGAGAAAATGAGAGACATGTTCTCTCCAATTTTCTCCAAAAAGAACCCTTAATGAATTTTAGGCTATAAAGTTCTTTATATAGTCACTTCTTTAAATGACTTAAGAACCAAACCCTAATTCAACACACATGCCCGGCCACATAAGGGATTTGGGCTTTTGGGCCTTTGTGAATCTTTATTCATTAAATTGTCATACAACTTAAGTCAATGGGCTTGACGTTCGAAGCCCATTGGGCCTTAAGGTCCAAAACTATCCCGAGGTCTTTAACGAACTTGTTCGTTTGATTAATTAACATATTAATTAATCCTTGCCATAAATAATTAAACCATTTAACTATTCTTACTCATCTCCATTGTTTCTTCAATCTCCACCTTACACGGTGTACGATCCATTAGGTTCCTTTTAGCGAGGCAGTGGGCGATTAAAACTCTTTCAAATCGATTGTGAATTGAAACTTACTTTCAATTCTCCCTTTAGTGTTTATACACGTTTAGGGCTTCCACAAACCAAGAGTGACACCTAGCAGCATATCATGGTTACCCAAGCTAATCAGAAGAGGTAGAGAACCTATTCAGTTCAGGATTACAAATGCAATACGGTCTTTCTCTAATACAATACTCTTGACCACATTGTTTGGATTGATAGTTTATTCATGTCTACTATCCAATGTGATTCGTGTGCTTATATGATTACCTTGAATGTGATTTGGAACGACTTTCCTAAATCTCATTCATACTCTGGCCAGAGATTCTTAATCATATCATAAAGTATTCTCCCTCAAACAGTTTGAAGGTTAGAGATCCCTTGTTGCGCATTCACTTGCCTCCATGGCTAAGTGGCTTAACCCCAACTATGCCGTGGACATCCGCGGATGGGGTGACTTTGACATAATCAAAGATCAAGGACTTAACCACAAGACAACTGTGATGCCTCAGGTCAAAGGACTACTTTGCATTATCCCAACCATGAGTTCTCATGTGACATGAATATGAGAACTCTTCGTTGATCGTGTTCAGTGAACTCATTCTCTATTGAGCACCTACGTACTTGTCTTGATGTCACACACACCAATGACTCGAGACTAGTCACTCTCCCTGAGAGAAGACACAGCACGTACTGATCTTAACGGACTGTGAATGCCCAATTGGCAATCCTATGATCAGGAACGTTTAGGATGTGTCTACGAAAGAATGGTCTCATGAATCTAACTTCTTTAGATCGCATTCTCCCAATCACATATTCCTTGGACTTATCGTTTAAGCATATAACATTTATATGAGATGGCTCAAACAATAATCTTTGCCCTTGATATTAAACTAGATTAGTTTAACATGTGAAATGTCCGTAAAGTATCATCATATGATTGGTTTTAGGGCACATTTCCAACAACGAAGAGATAGAAAAGTGTGAGCCTCACTTCCCTTGTACTTGATGGTAAGTATACAATGGGGTGAAAAAGACAATTCTCATTTAATGTTTTAAGTTGGGTATAGAATGAGGTTATATGGGTAACATCTCATGTTTTTTCTGTAGTTGACATTATGTTTTTGAAACGAACCTGACATGTTAATGAATCCGACATGTTCTATTTACCAACCAAATGTTTTGGGTTCGTACTAAAGAGAAGTAGAGGACTTGAGAAAAGGAGGTCTAAAGTCCCAAAACCAACGTATTCCCCTACCCCATGTGTA